ATTGGTCTTATGAAGTATTCTAATTTGTTGAGATTGAATTGGTGGGTTTTTGTTAAATGTGAGCCAAAATCATCACAATTAAAAGAAAGAAAGACTTAAACTACTTCAGTCTGTGTGCATTGAATTTATTTAGTACACGAGTTTCACAATTTTAGTTGAATTACTGAAATAAATGAACTTTTCCACGACATTCTAATTTATTGAGATGCACCTGTATGTATATATGTATATATATGCGTGTATATATTTGTATCTACACTACTGTTCAAAACTTGTCAGTAAATATTATTATTTATTTATCTGTATTCTATTTATTTTATTTGTTGTTGTTGAAGAGATTAATGCTTTTATTTAGCATGGAAACATTAAATTGATCAAATGTGTAATAAAGATATTTTAAAATGTTACAATTTTTTTTCCCAAATATGCTATTCTTTTGAACTTTCTATTCATCAAAGAATATTGTGAAGCAAAATAGTAATAGTAAATAGTAATAATAATATTAAAATTTTTTACAGTATAAAAAAGTACAAATAAAATCATATATGAGTCAAAGCCGTTAAGATGTCCACATCAAAAGAAATTTACAAAAGTGATTTTATGTCCATAGAAGCACATTAAATGCAAGTAAAGTGTCTACATTTAAGGTTTCAAATAAGTTTTTGAAGCATAAAATGTCAAAATTTGGTTAAAATAATGTTCCATTGTCATTCAGTGTAACACTTATAGTTATATAAAATTCAAACAACATGCTTATTCTGACCTGTACATATTAAAATATATAAAAGAATAAGTGAGCATATTAAATTTTATTGGGTTTTAAATGAGTAAAAATTCTTACTGACAAATGGGCAAAACCTAGGATAGTGGCAAATTTAAAAAATGTAAAATAACAACTAATTAGTATTTGGGGTGAAAGTAATTAGTTTTTTAATACGTCATAAATTGATTTTTGTTGTAAATATGCCTGACAAGATTGTTACACTGAATGACATTTTAGTGGGTGTCTTCTGTAAATCAGGGGAAAATGTATATTTATTTTTTGCTCAGAAAAACAAAAACAAAAATACAATTACATTAAACAGAAAACATTTAAATGAAATTTTTTTTTTTTTTTTTGGAAAAAACTACAATTTAAAGCAGTATTGTTTTTATGCTTAAACCCTTTTTCGTCTTTGACCCATATATATATATATATATATAATGTGTGTGTGTGATTTAAATATTAAATATTAACATAGCATGTTTAGATGAAAGGGTTCAAATTAGTCAAAATTATTACATTTTTACCCATTATTTATGCATTTATTCAAAGCATTTTCATAAGGCTATTAAATATAAATTTAATATATTAAATATAATGGCTTGAAGTTATACAGAGCATGTTTAGTAGAAAGTGTTCAAATCAGTCAAAATTATTCAAATTTTATCCATTATTTTGTGCATTTTTTTTCTAAACTTTTTCAAAATGCAGTTAAAGTTACATTTTTTCAAAATCACATTACACAGTGGATTTGATTCTCCTGTAGAAATACGTCAAGTTTTTTTTTTTTTTTTTCTCAAAAGAGTATGATATGTTGAATGTGTGTGTAAAGACGACCTGCGGGTGAGGCGTTCATCCACTTTATCTTACTGACATCAGTTCATTATACACACTGAGAAACATGTCAAACATCTTCTCTTTCTCTCTGTCTCTCTCAGGACTTTCTCCTGCATATCTTCACTGTGTTTCGCATCCTGATAAGACCAGAGATGTTCCCCAAAGACTGGGCGGTCATGCGGCTCGTCACTAACAAGTTAGAGACTTTATTCCCCTGCAGTTTTTGGTTTTCAGAGTATGAATTGTGATCTGAAATGTTTGATTTACAGCATCATCATCACCACGGTACTCTACCTGTCAGACGCTTTAAGAAAAAACTTCCTCAATGACAAGTTTGACTATAAGGTTTGTTCTCAGTCTGTTGTGTGTTGTGAAACATGAGTCGATCTGTTCGTTTTCTCTGTGGCGCAGCATCTAACACTCTGTTTCCATGTAGGTGTGGGATTCCTACTTCTGCCTGTCTGTTATATTCATCAACCAGCCCTGCCTTCAGCTCGAGACCTTCTCTGCGTCGAAGAGAAAGAAAATACTGGAAAAGTGAGTCCTGCAAGCCCTCCGATTTCAAACTTTCTTACTATTTAGTATACCAAAAGCAGTATATGTCAAATAAAGTGGTATGTCTGAAATTATAAGACTATTATGGTTCAGAATGTTTAATGTAGTGTTTGTTTGTAATAGTTTTTTGTTCTATAATTGTTTATATCTATCTATCTATCTATCTATCTATCTATCTATCTATTTATATTTGTTTTGTTTTGTTTTGTTTTGTTTTGTTTTGTTTTGTTTTGTTTTGTTTTGTTTTGTTTTGTTTTGTTTTGTTTTGTTTTGTTTTGTTTTGTTTTGTTTCAGTGTAGTTTTAGTTTTTATGTGTATTTATTTTTAATTTTTTTTTATTTTCAGTGTCAAATGATCCTTCAGATATCATTCTAATATATTTATTTGCTGCCCAAGAAACACTTCTGATTATAATCAGTTGAAAATATTTGAAGCATCCAGTTTAGTGTCTGAAAACTGCTTCATATTTTTGTGGAAACGGGATTCTTTGATGAATAGAATATTGAAAAGAAAAGCATTTTTTTTTTTCAACATTGATAAGAAGAAGAAATATTTCTATCTTGGATATCTTGAGTGTTTACATTCTTCAGGACATCAGTCTACAAATGTCTCAATCATATTTTGAACAACTGGCATAAGAGGATGTATTTTAACCGTATTTTGCATTCATTTGTGTTCAGGTACGGAGACATGCGTGTCATGATGGGATGTGAGATCTTTAGCATGTGGCAGAATTTAGGTAAGACGTTACCCAATATCAAAAATCTTCACTCTTTCTCGAGTCTTATTTACATGAGAGATGAAAGTTTCCATTTTGTCGTGCAGGAGAGCACAAGCTGAACTTCATCCCAGCGATGATCGGCCCGTTCCTGGAGGTGACGCTGGTGCCTCAGCCGGACCTGAGGAACGTGATGATCCCCATCTTTCACGACATGATGGACTGGGAGCAGCGCCGGAGCGGCAACTTCAAACAGGTCACACAGCGCCCCCTTCTGGTCACTAATGGGACATGCAGCTATCTGACTAGTGCATAATGCCATATTTGCCATATTTTCATTATTTGTAATAGGTGGAGGCAAAACTTATCGACAAGCTAGACAGCCTTATGTCAGAGGGCAAAGGAGACGAAACGTACAGAGAGCTTTTCAACAGCATGTGAGTGAGAGACACATACACAAACAGCTATACAAACACATACTGCGAGCCCTTAGTGGGCTGGATTTGGTTTGGAGAGCGGTGGTTAGATTAGCATAAAGCAATGAGACGGTAAGTAGTGGCAGGTCAGTTTTCACACATCTGTGGGTCAGTCTGTGATTGCGTTTTTGTGTGACTGTGTCTGTCAGTGCTGTGAAAAATTGTTTGATTCCCATCTGAATTTCAGTTTCTGCACATTTTTAACATAGAAGTAGTAAAAAGGACACCCAAGTTTGGTGCTTTTTTTAAAAATTGGTGTTTAAAATTGCAATTATGCAATCTTCCAGTCTATAATAAATGCATGAAAGATGTATCTTATGTTTTTGTTCATGAAGGGTTACTTTTATGCATACCCTGATATTGAGTGTAAAAATAAAGAAAACTGAAAATCAAACTTTTTTTCACAGCTCTTAAATCTCTTTGTGACTTTATATTTCTCTGTATATTCTCTATACAAGTCGAATTTCAAGCTTTCTGGGGTTTTTTTAGAAGCTGTCAAACGATTAATCGCATCCAAAATAAAAGTTTTCGTTTACACATATATTATGTAAACAAAAAACGTTTATTTTGGTTGCGATTAATCGCGATTAATCATTTGACAGCACTAGTTTTTTTTATTTCTTGAAGCGGTCAAAGTTAAAACACATCAACATAACACATCAGTAGGCCTCATGTGGCTTATAATTTACTGCTCTTACAGTATGTTTAAAGATTACATGCATAGTATTGATCAGAATATTTTTTTCCCTGTAAGTATTCATTAGCCTCAACTGTAGTCTGTTTACAGTTTCCAAGCTACATAGCAGGTCTATATACAGTATAAACATATATAAAATAATATATTAAAGTGAATATTAATGTTTTTTTAGATATTGTGAGTAAATAAATATATAGTAGATGCTGTTTTATATATTGTGAATAAATATATAGTAAAGTAATACATATTTATAATGCATATTAAAAATATGTATTCGCTGTTTTACAGTCTGTTTCATAATAAATGTATTTTTTTGTTACCAAGAAATGTCTTTGTTGAGGCCCATTTTATACACTCTACAGCAAGATATATAAATGTTAATTTCAATTGATTTATATTGATAATTTTATTGATTGTAGGATTTTGCTGTGGCAGGTGATTTTATTAATTAACTTGTGCATCTCTCTTCATTTTTCTGCCGCCTTTCATTGTACTAACCGGACTAACTGTACTAACTGAGTTTGAGTGGCTGTTGTTGACATTTAATCTATTAATATGAATTTGTTTTGTTTATGCGGCTCTGGACTAGAATTCCTCTGTTCGGTCCGTATCCTAGGTAAGATGATCACTGATCACTGTTCTGCTGGACAGCTGTGTGTGAGTGTGCAGGGCATGATGGGTCATATGGTGGACAGCAGTATGACTCCTCCTCTGCTGTGCTGGTTTTGTCTTGTCAGTCTGTTGAAGAAGATCGAGAGAGAGACGTGGAGAGAGAGCGGGATATCCCTCATAGCCACGGTCACACGGCTTATGGAGCGACTGCTGGATTACAGGTGAAATATACACAGCTGTACAGATATGCACACAATACAAATACAAGATACAAAATACGTCATTTATCATTTTTGTAATTGAAAAACTTCTGTTCAAAGGTTTGGATTCAGTACTTTTTTTTTTTAAAGAAAATAATATGTTTATTCATCAAGGATAGATTAAACTGAACAAAAGTGAAAGTAAAAAAATTAATCAGAAATATTCCTTTGAGCAACAATTCAGCATATTAGAATGATTTCTGAAGGGTCACGTGACACTGAAGACTGGAGTAAAGATGCTGAAAATTAAGCTTTGATCACTGGAATAAATTTCATTTGAAAATAGATTAAAATAGAAAACTGTTATTTTAAATTGTAATAATATTTTACAATATTGCTGTCTCTACTGTATTTTTTATTTAAATGCAGCCTTGTTGAGCAGAAGTCTTCTTTCCTAAATATTAAAAATCTTAAATATTCAAAATTTGTGACCCTCAGTATATATATATATATATATATATAAATACTAAAATTAAATGAGCTAAAAATAACAATTATAGTGTTTGTAAAAAAATAAGTAATCTGGAATTAAACTGAAAATAATACAAATAAATACAACATTAAAATTTTTTGACTATAATGGATAATAAATAAATGCAATCTTGCTGAGCATAAAAGACATCTTTCAAAAACATAAAAAAAATAAAAACTTACTGACCCCAAACTTTTGAACGTTGGTGGGCATCGAAATGCTTATCATTGCTTAAGATATATTTACTTACCAATGCGATATATTGTAGTATTTTTGCATAAAAAATGAGTAACACAAATACAGTAATGAAGCTACTTATTATTTCATCTCACTTTTTATTGGTGAAAAAAATTAAAATACACATTTAAAAATATAAGTTTCAGTTAACTTTGACCTAATCGAAAGTTAAAATGTATTAAGTAAATAAAAATGTTCATTGTTCTTAATTTCTGCCTTAGTCACTTTTTTGGCTCATAGATACAAAATTACACTCTTTGTGTTTTACAGAGACTGTATGAAATTGGGGGAAGTGGATGGAAAAAAGATTGGCTGTACAGTCAGTCTGCTGGTATGTTTAAGTATAATCTTTAGTGGCATTATTTGTCTTTGTCTTTTAGATTAAATGTTTGTGTGTTAACACGGGAAGTGATTTAGACGCTTTAATTCATGGTGGAAGCACTACAGTCTTTCACTGCTGAGGGCTGTATTGTGGAGTGATTTCCTGCTTTCTGCACTTCTTCTCCAAGTCTCCTTGGTTTATCCATATGAATTCGTTCATAGGAACCAGACCGACAGTGAAAATCAGTGCCGGAAAGCACTTGAAGCACTTCATATCCACGCTCCACCACTCTTTGTCTCTTTTCCACAGAACTTCTACAAAACAGAGCTGAATAAAGAGGAAATGTACATCCGCTACATTCACAAGCTGTATGACCTGCATCTGAAAGCGCAGAATTACACAGGTACTCAAGCATGACGTGAACCAGAAGTAGTTTGAAGATACGGTTAACAGTAGGGCTGCACGATAAATATCGCACGATATTTAATGCGCATCTCGTCAGTAAAGCCGGTTCTGTAATCAGCGGTAAATCTCTACACGTGCGTGCTTTCACGTGGAGCAGCATTTACAGACAAGCTGCGCAAAACATGCGCAAAATATGATCGTGGTTTTGCGCAGCTTGTCTGTGAACAACGGCTCTGTGTAGATATCGTGCGATATTTATCGTGCAGCCCTA